CCAACAAAAGGCTGCAGTCAGAATAACAAATTCCCACTACAGACAACACACTCCACCAATATTCAAAACTCTAAACCTACTCACCATACAAAACATCCATACTTATTACTGCACCTACTACATACATAGAACACTTAACTCTGACATAAACCCTCCCCTCAAACATCTCCTTACCAACCTTAACAGAACACATGACCATAACACAAGGCACAGATCACTCTTTGATGTTCCTCGTGTCCATCTCACACTATGCAAAAACTCAATGCACATAAAAGGTCCTAAAATCTGGAATTCATTACCTGTGAATATAAAAGAAACACTGTTTATAAATTCAAGTCTTCTCAAAAATCACTTAATCACCCACAACTAAATAAATACTGAATAATTCTATCTCATAAATTGTATCTCATATATGTATCTCATTATTATATCTCATAAATGTCAACCTGTAACCCAATCAAACTGTTACTATTTAACTTCATTACCTAACAGAATACTCCATTCTACTGATTACACAGCAACACAGTAAATGACCATATGACCTGTCTTTGTAATACTCATTTGTACTAAATTGTTATCTGTTTACAATAATTACTGTACCACTGAATATATCATTGCTTAGTTAATATTAACTTAATTTTAAGCCTGTCCATAATGCTCTGTATACAAGGGGCTTTGGCATGCTGCACTTTAAAAATTGTATTCCTTGTACTTCTCTATCATGTTCAAATAAATAAATACCATGTTGTACATGAATGGTACACAATACCATGTTGTACATGAATGGTACACAATACCATGTTGTACATGAATGGTACACAATACCATGTTGTACATGAATGGTACACAATACCATGTTGTACATGAATGGTACACAATACCATATTGTACATGAATGGTACACAATACCATGTTGTACATGAATGGTACACAATACCATGTTGTACATGAATGGTACACAATACCATGTTGTACATGAATGGTACACAATACCATGTTGTACATGAATGGCATACAATACCATGTTGTACATGAATGGTATACAATACCAACAAGATAAAGAATTAGATACTCAGATGTACAACATCCGGGTATCTTTATTTGTAAATGTTGCACCATCCAGTGTCTATCAATACAAGAACATATTTTTTTTTTTATTATTATCACACTGGCCGATTCCCACCAAGGCAGGGTGGCCCGAAAAAGAAAAACTTAAACCATCATTCACTCCATCACTGTCTTGCCAGAAGGGTGCTTTACACTACAGTTTTTAAACTGCAACATTAACACCCCTCCTTCAGAGTGCAGGCACTGTACTTCCCATCTCCAGGACTCAAGTCCGGCCTGCCGGTTTCCCTGAACCCCTTCATAAATGTTACTTTGCTCACACTCCAACAGCACGTCAAGTATTAAAAACCATTTGTCTCCATTCACTCCTATCAAACACGCTCATGCATGCCTGCTGGAATTCCAAGCCCCTCGCACACAAAACCTCCTTTACCCCCTCTCTCCAACCTTTCCTAGGCCGACCCCTACCCCGCCTTCCTTCCACTACAGACTGATACACTCTTGAAGTCATTCTGTTTCACTCCATTCTCTCTACATGTCCGAACCACCTCAACAACCCTTCCTCAGCCCTCTGGACAACAGTTTTGGTAATCCCGCACCTCCTCCTAACTTCCAAACTACGAATTCTCTGCATTATATTCACACCACACATTGCCCTCAGACATGACATCTCCACTGCCTCCAGCCTTCTCCTCACTGCAACATTCATCACCCATGCTTCACACCCATATAAGAGCGTTGGTAAAACTATACTCTCATACATTCCCCTCTTTGCCTCCATGGACAAAGTTCTTTGTCTCCACAGACTCCTAAGTGCACCACTCGCCCTTTTCCCCTCATCAATTCTATGATTCACCTCATCTTTCATAGACCCATCCGCTGACACGTCCACTCCCAAATATCTGAATACATTCACCTCCTCCATACTCTCTCCCTCCAATCTGATATTCAATCTTTCATCACCTAATCTTTTTGTTATCCTCATAACCTTACTCTTTCCTGTATTCACCTTTAATTTTCTTCTTTTGCACACCCTACCAAATTCATCCACCAATCTCTGCAACTTCTCTTCAGAATCTCCCAAGAGCACAGTGTCATCAGCAAAGAGCAGCTGTGACAACTCCCACTTTGTGTGTGATTCTTTATCTTTTAACTCCACGCCTCTTGTTAAGACCCTCGCATTTACTTCTCTTACAACCCCATCTATAAATATATTAAACAACCACGGTGACATCACACATCCTTGTCACAAGAACATATGTCCTTGTATTAATAAAGTCACTGGATGGTGCAACATCTACAAATAAATATAATCATATGTTGTACATGTGTCTGATTCTTCAACAATGTCATGTTTGAGCTGAGGACCAGACACACCTTCAATAACATACATTACAATAGAGGCTAAAACCACATGGGTTATATAGTGACAAGGTGGATATACAGTGGACCCCCGGTTAACGATTTTAATCCGTGCAAGAGGGCTCATCGTTATGCGAATGAATTTTCCCCATAAGAAATAATGGAAATAAAATTAATCCGTGCAAGACGCCCAAAAGTATGAAAAAATTTTTTTTTTACCACATGAAATGTTAATTTTAATACACACAAACTGAAAAAGGCATGCACAATTACATGACACTTACTTGAGGTAGCAAGTCCTTTTCTGGGGTTACTTCCCTTCTTCTTTTAATGCCACTAGGACCAGCTTGAGAGTCACTGGACCTCTGTCGCACAACAAATCTGTCCATAGAGCTCTGTACCTCCCGTTCCTTCAAGACTTTCCTAAAATGGGCCATAACATTGTCATTGAAATAGTCACCAGCACGGCTTGCAACAGCTGTGTCAGGGTGATTTTCATCTATAAAGGTTTGCAGTTCAACCCACTGTGCACACATTTCCTTAATCTTTGAAGTAGGCACAATGGATTCCACAACTGCATAGGCTTCTCAGGGTTAGCCCCAAACCCTCCAAAATCTTTCTTAATTTCCATACTAATTCTCACCCTTTTTACCACAGGGTTGGCACTAGAAGCTTTCTTGGGGCCCATGGTCACTTATTTTCCAGAAACAGCACCGAAAACACTGTAATAATACGAAATATTCCGAGTGTATGCTTGGATGTTACCGCGGAGGCTGGCTGGTAAACAATGGGACGGCCGGCACATGTGAGGGCACATTGGACGCGTCTCGGACGAAAATCGGTAAGCGGGTTTTTAATCGGTATGCGCGGCAAAAATTTTGCGATAAAAGTAATCGGTATGCGGAAAAATCGCTATGTGATGCCATCGTTATGCGGGGGTCCACTGTATGTGGTAGTAGATAAAGGAGTGGAAGGTTAGTGCGAGTGTCAGGTGGGTAGCACAGTGGAGGGTTAGTGCGAGTGTAAGGTGGGTAGCACAGTGGAAGGTTAGTGTGAGTGTAAAGTGGGTAGCACAGTGGAGGGTTAGTGCGAGTGTAAAGTGGGTAGCACAGTGGAGGGTTAGTGCGAGTGTAAAGTGGGTAGCACAGTGGAGGGTTAGTGCGAGTGTAAAGTGGGTAGCACAGTGGAGGGCTAGTGCGTGTGTAAGGTGGATAGCACAGTGGAGGGTTAGTGCGAGTGTAAAGTGGGTAGCACAGTGGAGGGTTACTGCGAGTGTAAAGTGGGTAGCACAGTGGAGGGTTAGTGTGAGTGTAAAGTGGGTAGCACAGTGGAGGGTTAGTGTGAGTGTAAAGTGGGTAGCACAGTGGAGGGTTAGTGCGAGTGTAAAGTGGGTAGCACAGTGGAGGGTTAGTGTGAGTGTAAAGTGGGTAGCACAGTGGAGGGCTAGTGCGAGTGTAAGGGGTAGCACAGTGGAGGGTTAGTGCGAGTGTAAAGTGGGTAGCACAGTGGAGGGTTAGTTCGAGTGTAAAGTGGGTAGCCCCCGTGGAGGGCTAGGGGCGAGTGTAAGGTGGATAGCACAGGGGAGGGTTAGTGCGAGTGTAAAGGGTGGGTACCCACAGTGGAGGGTTAAAGTGCAAGTGTACAGTGGGAAGCACAGTGGAGAGTTAGTGGAGTGTAAAGAAAGGAAGCACAGGGGGAGGGTCATATACAGTGGGAAGCACAGTGGAGGGTCAGTATAAAGTGGGAAGCACAGTGGAGGGTCAGTATAAAGTGGGAAGCACAGTGGTGGGTCAGTATTAAGTGGGAAGCACAGTGGAGGGTCAGTATAAAGTGGGAAGCACAGTGGAGGGTCAGTATAAAGTGGGAAGCACAGTGGTGGGTCAGTATAAAGTGGGAAGCACAGTGGAGGGTCAGTATAAAGTGGGAAGCACAGTGGTGGGTCAGTATAAAGTGGGAAGCACAGTGGTGGGTCAGTATAAAGTGGGAAGCACAGTGAAGGGTCAGTATAAAGTGGGAAGCACAGTGGTGGGTCAGTATAAAGTGGGAAGCACAGTGGAGGGTCAGTATAAAGTGGGAAGCACAATTGAGGGTCAGTATAAAGTGGGAAGCACAGTGGTGGGTCAGTATAAAGTGGGAAGCACAGTGGTGGGTCAGTATAAAGTGGGAAGCAAAGTGGTGGGTCAGTATAAAGTGGGAAGCACAGTGGAGGGTCAGTATAAAGTGGGAAGCACAGTGGTGGGTCAGTATAAAGTGGGAAGCACAGTGGAGGGTCAGTATAAAGTGGGAAGCACAATTGAGGGTCAGTATAAAGTGGGAAGCACAGTGGTGGGTCAGTATAAAGGGGGAAGCACAGTGGAGGGTCAGTAAAAAGTGGGAAGCACAGTGGTGGGTCCAGTATAAATTTGGGAAGCACAGTGGAGGTCAGTAAAAAAGTGGGAAGCACAGTGGTGGGTCAGTATAAAGTGGGAAGCACAGTGGAGGTTAGTGTAAAGTGGGAAGCACAGTGGGGGGGTCAGTATAAAGGGGGAAAGCACAGTGGTGGGTCAGTATAAAGTGGAAGCATAGTGGAAGGTCAGTATAAAGTGGGAAGCACAGTGGTGGGTCAGTATAAAGTGGGAAGCACAGTGGAGGGTCAGTATAAAGTGGGAAGCACAGTGGTGGGTCAGTATAAAGTGGGAAGCACAGTGGAGGGTCAGTGTAAAGTGGGAAGCACCGTGAACATAAGAACAACATAAGAAAGAAGGAACACTGCAACAGGCCTACTGACCCATGCAGAGCAGGTCCATGTCCCCCCCCCTCAGATTAGCCCAATGACCCACCCAGTCTGGTCACCTCCACTCAAGGAAGGAGAACGGCACCAGACCCAGCAGCACAAGTTGGTCAGGTCCAACTCACACCCATCCACACCCACTCATGTATTTATCTAACCTATTTTTAAAACTACACAACATTTTAGCCTCAATAACTGTACTCGGGAGTTTGTTCCACTCATCCACAACTCTATTACCAAACCAGTGCTTTTTCTATATCCTTCCTGAATCTGAATTTTTCCAACTTGAAACCATTGCTGCAAGTCCTGTCTTGGCTGGAAATTTTCAGCACGCTATTTACATCCCCTTTATTCCCGTTTTCCATTTACACACCTTGATCATATCCCCCCTAATTCTACGCCTTTCAAGAGTGCAGATTCAGGACCCTCAGTCTATCCTCATAGGGAAGATTTCTGATGCATGGGATCATTTTTGTCATCCTCCTCTGCACGTTTTCCAGAGCATTTATATCCATTCTGTAATACGGTGACCAGAACTGAGCAGCATAGTCTAAATGAGGCCTAACCAAGGATATATAGAGTTGAACAACCTGAGGACTTCTATTACTTATGCTTCTAGATATGAAGCCAAGAATTCTGTTAGCTTTATTGCGAACACTAATGCACTGTTGTTTTGGTTTTAGATTACTGCTAACCAGAACTCCTAAATCCTTTTCACAATCAGTGGTATTAAGATCTACATTATTTAGTTTATATGTTGCATGGTTATTTTCGTGTCCAACATTTAGAACTTTGTATTTGTCTATATTAACCCCTAAATGGTCCAAACATATATACAGTGGACCCCCGGTTTACGATCAGCTCCCAATGCGACCAATTATGTAAGTGTATTTATGTAAGTGCGTTTGTATGTGTATGTTTGGGGGTCTGAAATAGACTAATCTAATTCACAATATTCCTTATGGGAACAAATTCGGTCAGTACTGGCACCTGAACATACTTCTGGAATGAAATATCGTAAACCGGGGGTCCACTGTATACGTTCACGTGCGTAGCGCCCCAAACATATATATACGTTTTCTTTGTCATTCATTCATCATTGCCACAATAAGCCTGAGTCGCCTAGGCATGAGAGAATGGGTGCGCGCACTCACTGTGCGCCATATTAAAATAATTGGGGATGCCTGGGTACCATATGCTCTTTTTTCCTACTAAAAAAGCGATTTTTTTTCTCTCAAAAAATTTGGGGTGCTACACAAGTGGATGTATATATATGTTTGGACTCTTTAGGGGTTAAACTGCATCTGCCACTTCTCCGACCATTGCATCAGCCTATTCAAATCATCCTGGAGTGCTCTAGTGTCCTCATTAGAATGAATTGGATTGGAGGGTCAGTATAAAGTGGGAAGCACAGTGGAGGGTCAGTATAAAGTGGGAAGCACAGTGGAGGGTCAGTATAAAGTGGGAAGCACAGTGGTGGGTCAGTATAAAGTGGGACAGTTGTACAAACATTGTGTCGTGCTGAAATAAAGAAATAAAGTTAATTTCGGTTAAAAAAAAAAAAGTAAAACGAGTCTAAATTGATTTTCTGCGAGTTCGACTAGTGACAGCTCATTAGGTCCAGCATTTAGGACGACATAAAGCCAGACTACGTGTAATCTATAATGGTTTTACATGGTTCTAGCTCTAATCAAACGGTTAATTACATTTACATTAAAAATATTTTGGGAACTTAAATAATTGCAAACATAAAAAAAGATTCTAACATAACATATTTACTTCTGTTTATTACCACAGGTCAGTATATAATGTCTTTCTAACTTCCTGGTACTGTTATACAGCCTCTCCTCACTTAATGATGGAGTTCTGTTTCTAAGACCATGTCAGTAAACAAATTTGTGGCTAAGTGAGGATCATACTATAATGGTAGAGTCTGTGTCAACCATCTTTGATATTGTTTTAATGTCACCTCTGCAACATTTAAAACATTTTTAGTTTATTTTTAAATGTTTATACAGTAGTGTACTGTATATTGTAATAAACAGAATAGAGGCAATCAGCTCTAATATACATTATTTAGGTATGCATACTGGACAGAGAGCCTGTCATAAGTCAGAGTCGTCGATAAACAAATACGTTGCTAAGTGAGGAGAGGCTGTATTCTTTATCCTCATTATAATTTGGGTAAAATTCTAATAGATCTTTAATCATGTTTATTCTGCTCAGTATTTTAGGGACATATTAACACCACTGTTATATACAAACCTCATAATTAATATTATATAATACTGATATTGAAGGTAGTAGGTTGGTAGACAGCAACCGCCCAGGGAGGTACTACCGTCCTGCCAAGTGAGTGTAAAATGAAAGCCTGTAATTGTTTTACATGATGGTAGGATTGCTGGTGTCTTTTTTTCTGTCTCATAAACATGCAAGATTTCAGGTATGTCTTGCTACTTCTACTTACACTTAGGTCACACTACACATACATGTACAAGCACATATATACACACCCCTCTGGGTTTTCTTCTATTTTCTTTCTAGTTCTTGTTCTTGTTTATTTCCTCTTATCTCCATGGGGAAGTGGAACAGAATTCTTCCTCCATAAGCCATGCGTGTTGTAAGAGGCGACTAAAATGCCGGGAGCAAGGGGCTAGTAACCCCTTCTCCCGTACAAATTACTAAATTTAAAAAGAGAAACTTTCGTTTTTCTTTTTGGGCCACCCTGCCTTGGTGGGATACGGCTGGTTTGTTGAAAAAAAAAATGATTATTATAAACTCCTCACACACACTATTGACAAACTAACATTAACCTCTGATGAGTTCTGAGTGTTTTTCTACTGCCAGAGCCCAGCCAGGGGTCAGGCTTATCTGGTGCTTGCCTGCTACACCAGGATGTTACTGCTGGTGGTCCACTGACCCACTCCATCACAGCCTGGTTGATCCAGCACCTGGTGAAGATACTTGTCCAGTTTCCTCTTGAAGGCTTCTACACTTGTTCCAGCAGTATTTTTGGTTACATGTTGCAACAGTCTTGGGCCTCACATGTTGATACAGCAACACACAATATTCAACAGTCTGGCAACACAACAAACATATTTAGTATTTTTGACAATAATATTTTTTTCTTTAACCACATAATGTAATTTACATGAATTTAATATAAACGTAGGCACAAAAGATGGCCACAAATTAGGGAAAAGCATTTTGACCAGCTAATTGTAAGCCAATTAATTAATTAATACTATTAAATAAGAATTTTATGCAATTAACTAAAAATAAGAACCTTGAAGAACTGAGGACACTTATGCAACAAAAATAAGACAATGACAAATAGTCTATCCAGAGAGAGAGATATTTCGAAGTACTAATTCAAAGATCCTCAGTTTTATACTGACTGAATATAGAAATGTTGAAGATACAGTAAGTTACTTTAGATTACAATATAATTAAATAGGATAATATATGTTACCAATTATATATGGGTGTTGAAGGAAGAACAGGGACAGAACTGGATGAAAGTTGGTTTTGTTAGACATAACAGATTGCTGTCTCAATTATGCTAAGGAGATGGTGTTTTTTAACAGCTTTGAAATGGGTGGCAGATAGGGAACCTTTCAATGCTTCAGAGTTCCAGATCTTAAGGCCATTTATGACCATTGAATTTTCACACAGGTTGAGTTGGACATGGGGGGTGATGTCAGCTCTTTTGTGTCTTATTGCACCTATTAAAAAGGAAAAAGTTCATAGAAAGGCTTATATTGAAAAATAATGTTCTATATACTGTAGGCACAGTAGTATGAGTGCACATTTTATTTAACAAGTTTTATTTTATTTTATTTAGTAATTTAAGCATACTTACAGAGGTACAAAAAATACAGGTAAGAGCAGCATGCCAAAGCCACTTATATACATAGCATTACGGGCTGGCTTAAAATTAACTTAAGATTAACTAAGCAATGATGAAATCAGTGATAAATCATTATTGTAAACAGATAACTATAAAGTTTGGGGGGTGTGTGTTGTCTGCCACTGGAATGGGTAATTGTTTGCACAGCAACTTTCAAGTTATTAATGATTTTAGGTCATAGATTCCCGTATCCAACTCAATCCCTATGCTTCTACAATACTGTATAACACAAATATTGGGGTAGGGCTCTACCCCAATATTATCCAGATAACTGCAATCAAGTTGCTGTCCCAGATCTCCGCTTGGCCGACTTCATAGGTATGACAAATTACCTGGGTGTGCTAAATTGGGACGACCTTATTATGTGTCAGGCAGGTAGAGTTGGTTGCCAATATGACATTTCAGAGCATAGTGCTGGCTGGCCAGACAACTTTTGTCCCGAGTAGGGAAATTAGATCTAACAACAATGATCCCAAATGGATAAACAATAGATTAAAACATCTCACTGGTCAAAAGAGAGGGGATAATATAGGCATATCAAAAGAGGGAAAGGGCAGTTAAGAAATCAATATATTCAATTAAAATGAGAAATAGGAAAAGGAATAAGAAAAGCAAAAAGGGATTATGAGGTTAAAGTTGCAAAGGACTCTAAGACTAACCCAAAAGGGTTCTTTCAGGTATACAAAAAGATAGATTAGGGACAACATAGGCCCACTTAAAAGTACCTCAGGTCAGATCACTGACAGTGATAAGGAAATGTGTGAACTTTTCTATACCTACTTCCTCTCAGTTTTTACTCAAGAAGATACTAGCAAAATTATAGAAATAATAAATTATGTAGAAAAGGATAATAATAAACTATGCATGATTAGGGTAACTAGTGACATGGTCCTCAGACAAATAGAGAAATTAAAGCCTAACAAATCCCCAGGCCCTTATGAACTGTTTGCAAGGGTTTTAAAGGAATGTAAAGAGGAACTTAGCATACCTTTGGCTAATCTTTTCAATATATCACTACAAACTAATAACTAACTACAGGTCTGCCATCACAAATCCAGCAATCAGTTATTCGGTTCCTTCAGTTATTCGGCACGAATTTTGGCTAGCATAATTTCAAATTTCCAGGGTCACCACACCAACCTGCTGGTACTGTTTGGTGGCGCTACTTGCTGCATAAGTCATTCCAATTTCTTTTTCTCCATTTATTGTTTTAACCTGCTTACTTTTAGCCCTAGCCTTAGTTCCAATGAATAAAAGAAATGCTTCTCATTAAATAAAGCACCTACACAGTACATTATCCATTAATTAAAGATAAGGTGGCTTTGAAGCCACTGTCAGTTGCCATGAACTCAGTCTCATGAAGCAGGAGAATATGCTTTATTATTATGCTAATATCAACACTACAGCTTATTTGCCTATCACAATTGATCTAATATGATATAATAAACAATATAAATAACAAAACATGTTAAATACTCCCAAATAAATAATATTTGGCATAACACCGAGCAGTTCGACAGAGGTATGAAGAGGATATGGTATACAAGTACTATTCTCCTATCCCTGTCTTGGTGGCTTATATTAGAGAAAACAGAGTATAGCATAGGGCTAACTGTCATATACACTTATACTGCACCATAAACCTGAAACAGAAGTTATTTTCTCTATATAGATTATCACACATAGCAGCATGTGTGTAGAGAACCTAGGATAACCCAAAAAAGTCAACGTAGCTTATTTTTAGTACAGTGGTCCCTCGTTTATCGTATTTAATCCGTTCCTGGAGGAGCTACTATTATCGAAATCTACGATTATCGAATGAATTTTCCCCATAAGAAATAATGTAAATACAATTAATCCATTCCTGACACCCAGAAGTATTAAAACTGAAAATTTTTTTTACATGAAATATAGATGTAGTACATAAACAATACAATGGGACATGATGAATGAAACATTAACAGCATAACACTTACCTTTATTGGCGATTCTTCTTAGTGTATGGGAGACTGGAGGAGGAGAGAGATTGGATTATTTACAGTTTGGAAGGGGAATCCCCTTCCAGCAACACCTCAGGTACCAATTGCTTTTCTGGGGTTACTTCTCTTCTCTGTTTCTTAATGCCACTAGGACCACCTTGAGAGTCACTGGAGTCCTGTCTCACAAAATAACTGTGGAGAGAGCTCTGTTTCTGGCATCTCTTTAACACTTCCCTAAAATGGCCCAAGACTTTGTCACTGTACATGTTGCCAACATAGCTTGCAACAGCCTTGTCAGGGTGATGTTTCTCCATAAATCTTTCCATCTTACCCCACACTGCAAATATCTCCTTAATTTCTGAAGAAGGCACCTTCTTCCACCTCTCTTCCTCCTCCTCCTCTGCAGCAAGATTCTGAGCTGCAATCTGTTGCTCTTCCTGCTGAAGCTCTTGCAGCTCCTCAGTGGTGAGCTCTTCGTTGTGGTCTTCCACCAACTCTTCCACATCCTCCAAACTCACATCTAACCCCATGGAACTCCCCAGTGCCACAATAGATTTAACAACAGACATAGGCTCATCAGGGTCAGCCCCAAACCCTTCAAAATCCCTGTTGTCGACACAATCTGGCCACAATTTTCTCCAAGCAGAGTTCAAAGTCCTGGTAGTCACTCCCTCCCAAGCCATACCTACAAGGCTTATGCAATGGAGGATGCTGAAGTGTTCTCTCCAAAAATCTCTTAGGGTCAAGTGAGTGTCTGAGGCCACATTCAAGCACCTTTGATACACTGCTTTGGTGTAGAGTTTTTTAAAGTTTGCAATGACCTGCTGGTCCATGGGCTGGAGGAGAGGAGTGGTATTCGGGGGCAAGAACTTTACTGCGATGAACCCAAACTCCTCGAAAATTAGGTCATCCAAGTTTGGAGGATGAGCAGGTGCGTTGTCCATTACTAGGAGGCACTTGAGATCCAATTTCTTTTCCAGGAGGTAATTCTTCACACTAGGGCCAAACACTTCATTGAACCACTCGACGAAAATTTCCCTCATGACCCATGCCTTACTATTAGATTTCCAAAATACACACAATTTACTCTTCATAACATTGTTTTTCCTGAACACTCTGGGATTTTCAGAATGGTACACTAGTAACGGCTTCACTTTGAAATCCCCACTAACATTAGCACAGAACATGAGCATCAGCCTGTCTTTCATAGGCTTGTGTCCTGGCAGTGCCTTTTCCTCCTGTATAATGTAGGTCCTCTTTGGCATTTTCTTAAAAAACAGGCCTGTTTCATCACAATTGAACACTTGTTCAGGTTTCAGTCCTTCAGCCTCTATGTACTCCTTGAATTCATGCACATATTTTTCAGCTGCTATGTGGTCGAACTGGCAGCCTCACCATGCCTTACCACACTGTGTATGCCACTACGGTTCTTAAATCTCTCAAACCAACCTTTGCTGGCCTTAAATTCACTCACATCACCACTATTTGCAGGCCATTTCTTTACCAGATCATCATGCAACTACCTAGCCTTTTCACAAATAATCAACGTTATAATGCTATCTCCTGCTAATTGTTTCTCGTTTATCCACACCAATAATAACTTCTCAACCTCTTCGAGTACTGGTGATCTCATTTTTGTCAGCATATTTACCCCCTTTGGAAGTGGAACAGAATTCTTCCTCCGTAAGCCATGTGTGTCGTAAGAGGCGACTAAAATGCCGGGAGCAAGGAGCTAGTAACCCCTTCTCCTGTATATATTACTAATTTAAAAGGCAAAACTTTTGTTTTTCCTTTTGGGCCACCCCACCTCAGTGGGATATGGCTGGTGCATTGAAAGAAAAGAAAGAATTTACCCCCTATGCAACAGCAGCGTCCTTGATTTCCTTTTTCTTGGCCAAGATGGAACATATGGTTGTATAAGGTTTGTTATACATCCTGGCCAGTTTGGCCGCACTTAAGCCACTTTCATATTGTTCAATGTTTTTCTTAAATTCAATCGTATTTCTCACCTTCTTTACCAAAGGCTTGGCACTAGGAGCTTGCTTTGGAGCCATGGTAGCTTATTTAGTACTTGCAAGCACTAAAATGAATGGAATATTATGAAATATTTCGCAGGAGCACGTGAGGGGACCTTCGCTCACTGGTAAACAATGCCACACTGGCTGGGTAGGGAGGCCGCCCCGGCTCGC